TGAGTTATGACTACGTTGAATAGAGAAAATAAGCTCTATAAAATGCAAGAACGCCACATTCAATATAATTTTATTTAGCACTATAGAGATGTGTCAGTATTGAATTATTTAAATGTTAGTTAATTTTCAATGAGAGCCATATATTCACTTATGGCAGTATACTTATTTTAATTTATCCAAATTATCACTGAAGTCAAAATTAAGACTGCCTTATTTCGACTTATATGTTCTTGCACTGAATAAAAACTAATTTGACGTGATATGTTGAATAAACAGTAAATATTTAGAGTTGTGGCAGTATTTGCATTTGGTAGAACTTGTCGCTAGTGCAGCCACAACACAAAATATGACTGGTTGTATTTATTAATAGAATAGTTGTTTGTTAAATTGTCATGGTCGATTAACAATGGTTATCACATTAATCAATTTAATAAATTATGCTTAATATCACACTGGCTTATACTATTATTATCAATATGTTTTTAAGTAGTAAGTACCATGAATACGTTTTTATTATTTCAAGTTCTAAAAATTTAAATCATTATTATTTGTATTAATATTGTGTATACCTAAAGTATTAAATGTCAAGATTCACTAGAAGCGCCAAATGTTAAATCTAGTACTAGTAAATAAATTACAGAATAATATTATGTCGTCTACAGAAAGTCTTACCCAGGATATTAATTATGAAAATACTATAGAAACAGGTAAGTGATATTATATTCAGCTAATCCTAACGTTTTAATAAAAGTAATCAAATATCTTATACCTATTACCTTATTATCTTATATTTTTAAATACTTTAATTTCAAGTATTTGAAGCAGTAGGTATTCTAATAGTAAATACTGGTTGTTTCTACATATTAATTTGTGTGTAATAGTTGTTTTAAAGTTTTAATATAAACACCACGATTACATTTAATAGTTTTAAGTAGTATCAATTATAAATAGGTATACAGTTCATATAATATAAATATCTATCATTAGCCATTAGGTATATTTATATGTATAATACTATAATATTATTATAATATAGGTACACTATAATAGCTAACAATACCAGTTATTGATTAAATCATTTTTTAATTGTATAATATTATATACAAAATATTATTAACCAATAATTTTAATTAATTATAATATTATTGTTCAATATAGTAACATCTATTAATGATGAAGAAGTTGATATTACAAATAAAGTAGTATGCTGGTTAAATGATACACCTTCAGTGAGACCTGAATATGAGAACAGTAAGTAGAAGTAACTATGAATTGCTATTTATTTACAACTATATAATTGGTAATATTTTTAGAAGATTATCATTGGAAACATGAATCAAAAGCAATACGTAACTGAACGAAGTACAACAATAAATTCATGAATTTTGAGTTGTGGCAGTCTTGTTCTAGCAGTGCGATTTGTTGACATAAAGGTTTATTTTCATTTTTTTGGTAACGAATAGCTTTTACTATTCCAGTTCGAAACCGCATTGCATTTTGAATTATAAATTTACGTAAATTTATAGGATAACAAGTTTTTTTTGCAATAGCTGCTATTTTTTGACTGTAATTACGCAGTAGATGGTTGCGACACTCTATTTTTTCAATTAAAACATTAGGGCCATAAGGTAGTACTTCTAACAATCTTTTAGTAACACTACTATCTCCGTCACCTGGAATATAAATGAAATTTTAAACTAAAAAATTGTGTGTTATGGGAAAAATACATTAATATTTCTATATAGTATGGGCACTCAAAATAACGGTCATAATAATAGAAAATATGTACTGCAAGTGCGTTATGGTTTTATATAAACATGTTTATACCTAATATATACACAACTTTTAAATTTTACATACATATATCAGAAAATAACTCTAGTCAAAAATATATTTTTTTAGTATCTGCGTATTATTTTATATGGAAGTTTTACTGTATTTGGTAATTTAAAATGTAAAACCAACAAACATTTTTAAGACTATATTTTGCACTTTATAAACTATAAAGAAAGCGTAATACGTACCAATCAGTTTATTAAATTTCAAATTATGCATTTCGACGCTTTTCATAAACCCTTCAACAACACCATCTGCTTCCATACCTGTTGCAGATTTATTCCAATTCATAAAACAGCGATGTTCAGAAGGTTTTTCGTTTTTAGAAGCGGCACGGTGACAAATGACGCAATACCTATTTCTTATACCTACGAACAATACTTTTTTTGGTTCTATATCCAATGATGGAAGCCTTAATAAAAATATAAAAATTGAATACCTATATATTAGTTTCAATATTTAAAACGAAACATATGACAAAATGTATACGTACCACTCCAGATAGTGCATCATACTTTGTTTTATAACTTCTTTTACACCATTGTCCGTCTGCTACTACTGTACACATTGGTATTCCATTTTCATCGACCTCTCCAGCTTCTAATGCCAATTCCCGTTCCTCTACACCTGCCTTTTTCATCTCATCCCAAGCTGTGTTATGAACTGAAAAAACTGACTGTCTCGTGCACCCTGGAGTATGTTGTGTTCGACATACACGGTATTTCCATTGCAGCAGTAAACTCTGATAACTGACTATGTCCTATTCCTAATATAATATATAATATGTAAAAATTTAATCATGTTACTTCATAATTTTGATTCACTAAAATCTTTTGTACTTCTATTAAATAATTAAAAATTATACCTATTGATAATGTACCATTTACAGCTGCTTCATTGATTGGCAAATGTTCAGTAGGTTCTCCAGTTTTTTCAGATAAAATGAGCGTTTTTATGCCACACATTCTGCATTTAAATTTAAATTTTGACAAAAAACCAACGTGTATTTCACTAACAAAGTCCATATCTAAAAAACTACATCCGAAACTACCAGTATGCAGACTTTCTTGGATTTGTTTGAAAAAAATAATTAATGTCAACTATTCTTCTACCAGCCAATGGAGCTTTGCTCTCACTAAAAAAAATACATTTTTGATACTCCATTTGATAATTTTTGATACAATATAGATACTTACATATCATCGTCACAATGTGTCTCTTCAATTAAATTATAATTCTCTATTTCAAACTGCTCAGTACATATCGGAGAAGACGTAAAGCTATCATTTACGAATACACATTTTATAATAAAAAAATTATAATTAATATAAATAAATAATATAATTAATTAGGTTTTTAAACTTTTTTTTTTTTACATAATAAAACTGTAAAATAATAACATAGGTATAATATATATATTATATTAATGGGATAAAAATATAATAATTAAAATAATCTATTTGTGTTGTTTATAAACAAATTAATTTCAATAGTTTTACTTACAGGATTGGTATAACAAAGTCTGCAGCGTTTACGCTTTGTACGCTTTCAACATCGTCTGTTGACGTACTAGCTGCTTCTCTAAAGAATATATATATAGGAACAATAGGTATATGCAAATTAATAGTATTACTTATATTTATTAATTATGATAATATTATAATACTGGAAATATATAATAATATAAGCTATTGCGTACAATTAGGTACAATTAAAAAATTCTAATAATTAATAAATTAATGGTCTACCTTAAAATACGATTGGACCACCGATTTTGAACTAGAGTCCTAGTAGTTATTTTTTTTAATAGTACGCTTTGCAGTAAGTTTTTTATTCGCCATAATAAACGTATTACGTTTAGTTTCGTGCTTCACACTTTCACGTTGAACAAGTAAACACGATAAATGAAATATAACAACAGTCAATAAGTAATAATTAATAACCTAGGTCCTAGATGTCCTAAACTGTCGTCTGGCACATTACGACTTACGTACTATACTCACTATCGTATTCGTATAGATTTTAGATTTTTTAGAGTATAGACTATAGAGGATAGGGGGATAGGGCATGGCATTATACCGTATAGTTATCGATGATATTTATATTTATTTTGAACATCAATATAATAACAATAGAAACAATATTATTATAATAAATTATTTCGTATGCATTGCATTCATTGCAATAATATCTTATCTTGTAATTTTGATTTATACTTCGTCGAAATAGTTAATCGCCGTCTCGCCGATTAGTTAAAAATATACCGTGCGTGCATGCGACCGCGACGCGTCCGAATCCGCTGATTGTGGCAATAGTGGGAGAAATAATCGTCGATGTCGCCGCCGTTCGTAGGCAGCAGCACCTTACGAATGAAAAATTAAATTCGATAACAAAAAACATGTTTACGAAAAATGGCCAAAACAACGGTTTAGAGTGATTTTAGAGAAAAACACCAAATTTTCAAAATTAAAGATTACAATATTATCTAGGGCATGTCATATCCATTTTTTTGATTAAACAGCTGAAACGGTAGTTATTTATGATTAAAAAGTTACAATTTTCGACAACTTAAAATGATCGTATTTTAGTAAAAAACTAATAAAAAGCTAAATGGATATGACATTCCCTAGATAATGTTGTTACCTTTAATTTTTATAATAGGTTGTATAACGCTAAGTCTAATCATTTTGGAATAAACACTATTTTTCGAAAGCATGTTACTACGAAGAAAAATAGCTGCGCTGACATCCTCTTAATTCAAATATAATTAGATTAATCAAAGGACTTGGCTTATCTGACTTTAATTTTATATTATAAAAAAACGTTGCAGAAATAACCAAACATTTAGTGATTCTGTAGGATATTTTAGCAACATATAATACTCCAGGCTAAGTAAATAAGTACTTTTTATTTTTTTAAATATAGATTATCATGAGTATTCATTTTATTTGTCATAAGGAAAAAAAATGTTTCCCATTAATACTTACATTCTGAAGCATTAACATTTTCATTTAAGTCTTGGAGCATTTTTTTACTATTAACATCTTTCACTCAATTATTCAATATTTTCAACAGTTTAGTAAATGATGATGTATCAAACATGCTCTTATGTCTTTTAACTTACAAGCTTATAACCAAGTGGTTTTTTATACTGAGGCCATGTTTTTTGTAATTCTGTAGCTGAGAAATCTGTGGCTTTGAAATTTCTTAATCTATGTCCAGTAGTTTTTTTTCAAATATTTTCAATTTCCGGCCAAGACAACTCTTCATGCTTCAAGCTACTTCAAAGCATATCTACGTATATCATTTTCAGTGCCTATAATTTATAAATAATAATTTAAACTATAAGTTTATGCTAGAACACAAAATATCCTATAGATAATATAAAATAGATTTACTTATTTCACAGTCTAATTCTATAGATATTCTATTTAGTTTCCTGTTCGACACATTTTTTTTCTTTTGGTTGTTGAGGCACAAGTCTATGATGTTTTAAATTTCTTATTTTGTTAAAGTATTTAGAATATAACTTTCCTTTTGGACATTTAGCCCCTGCATCTCTCAGAAAATACACTTCCTTCAAACAAATCGACGTCCCCAGCGAAAAGTGTCGTAACTCACTTTTACAAAATGTTCAGGAAATACAATATAAACATTCAAAAATAAAATCTTATTCTGGTTTTCAAAAATTGTAAATTTTAAAATTATTTTTGTAATCTTTCAGGTTCTTTCTTAAAATCCACTTAATCTACTTTCAGCTAACTCTTTTTGTTGGCCATAAAAAATAGGTTAAAAAAATTATGAGTTACGACTTTTTTCGCTGGAAAAAATAAATAAATAAAATAAGTAAAGTAATAACCATTGTAGTGTCTTATTAATCAAAATAATATTATTTATTATGACAACTCAATATAATTATAACAAACTTTTATTGAAGTAAAACAACTTATAAAATTAATACTTAAAAAAAAAAACAACACTTTATAATATTAATGGAAAAACAATATTTGAAATAAATTAATATAGGTAATAGTAATATTATTATTATTAAACAGTGAAATTAATATAGTTTAATATTACATTATAATACAATTATACAAATTATTTTGGAGTTAAGGATTTATAAAAATCATGGTAGCAAGATGGTATGAGGCCTTTGTTACATAGTGATAATAAATCATTGATTTTCATTTTATCAACTGGTAATTTTTCATTATAGGCTCTTAACGGTAAACAACGCCTTTGAAACCTTCCTCTTTTTTTCTTAACCAATAATGACGTGTCCATGGTACTTGTACTATTTAAATTGTACCTGATGTTAAAAGTATTTGGAGTTTTATAGGATGTATCTTTCACACTATTCCATTTAATTATATTGTTATCAGTTGATGTTCTCCAATTTAATTGTGAGTTTTCTACTAGGGGTTTAAAATCTAAAAAGTCCTCATGTGATAATTCAAACACTATATACGATTTTCCATGTATTTTGGCACATCTTACTAACGTAAACCATTGGGCTGGAATGTATATAGTTTTATGTTTTTAGAGCATTCAATGGTGGCGTGCATGCTATCACCTTCGTTTTGTGTGTGTCCCTTTTCTAAAAATGTATGTTTAATACTGACTTTCTGAGTAAAAGCTGCATGCTTCCACATAGCGTAAATATATCTGTTTCGATTTTGCCCTGCACAGTTATCAGAAAAAAAAACTAAACTCTTCACTACCACTTTCCTTCATACACGTAATTTTAATAAACTTCAATAAGCACGTTGATATTTCATTTGAACCTCTGTTTCCATCTGTTTCAGTCCACATAAAACAATACCCCTGTTTTTGCCCAATGTCATAAATTGTAAAATTATAGCTAGCAAACTTTCTTTTATAATAGAAACTACTAACTTCACTTTGCGGTGAAGTTAATACTTTCTGTAAATCAAATACAGCTACACAAAATTTAGGATCAATTTCAGCTCTTTCTTTATCTGCTTTTCTTATGTTTCTTGCTAATGTCTTGTTTAAAATATGGGCTTCATAAGAAATACACACATAAAAAATAGGTACACTCTAATATATAGTAAATATATATTAAAATTATATTTAAAAAAATGGGAAAAGAGGCGCTAATTTCTAAATTGATCATGGGGCGCACCGGGAAAATTCCCGGTGTCCAGTACGGGCCTGAATACGGGGATAGCCCGGGTACAGAATAAAATTAGTTATTTTTGTTTTTATACTAGTAGTATGTTTTAGTCGGTTCTGTGACCCCCGCAAATCCAGGAGATCCAGATACCCCGCCCTCCCTATCGTGCGCGTGCCATGTCTCGCCATGCCTATCGCTGCCATGCCCCTCCATGCCGTTCCCGGCCTTACCCCTCCCCTCCATGCTATGAACGGCCATGCCCCCTCCCATCCATTCCTATCCAGTACATGCCCCCCCCTGTTAAGTTTTCGAATTCAATATACTCAATACGATGTAAACAAAACTATTAACCCTCTATCATCGCAATATTTTAGGGTATAAATAAAGCAGAGTGGTGTGTGTAATATCTTCAGTAGTAATACATTCACTCTAACAACGAGTCATTGTTCTCTATAGATACTTAAAATCATTTTTTCACGTTTCAAAAATAAATTTACAAGTGTTTCTAAATATGGCCGGTTCAATCACGGATAATGCAGCTATATACAAGAAAACCTTTACATATGTCCCGCCAACACCGCCTTCGGAGCTTATCGATTCTACTAACTATACGTTGAACTTCGTGAAACGTAAGTTTATACATATTGGGATCGATCCGACTGATATGTTCAGAGTGGCGGTGCATATAATAACACCATCACGTTATGTTAAAATTTCAACTGAGTTTCTAAAAAGAATATTTTCACTGATGGGTAATATCCTATCATTTATTTTGGAGCAGCCGGCGAAATATAAAAGAACCATTTTTCTCGAGACAGAGAATTTAAAGTTATTTAGCATGATGTATAGCGGTGAAAACTCCTTAGTAATAGAGTCCAAGATACACGACGGATGCCGAATTCTTTTAAATCGTATGGAGCTCATACGACTTCACTACCTAGAATGGTGCATTTTCGAAACTATCGTACGAAAATCAACTATAATGCATCCAATCGTCTTAAAACAATTCAATATTTTTACGAATTATATTAATGGTGAACTTTCCAAAGCGGAATCATTGCCGAGAACGAGTGAAGAAATGACTACGTTTATCAAAAATATACGTGACGATCATATTATTGCAAGCAGTCCTAAACATGATGTTAATTTCATTAGTCAGCTCAAAATGTATGCATTAGAGCAATTAACTGAACACTGTATGCAACAATGGAATGGAGAAATGTCTCCAAAGGTATAACCAAATTTATTTATTCTATGTACATAAAGATTTAATAATTTATTTATTTTTAGTCGTTTGATAGAAATTTAACAATCATTTCACCGACCTCGCCAACCTATTTACCCTCAAGCATCACGAAGGGCGACACATTTGACATTCATAATGAAAAAGTAAATAGTGCAAAGGTAATTTATAAAATTATTATAGATACATAAGTTATATGTGAAAATATATATTTTTTCCAGCCGTACTATTCATTTGACGGTATGCTGTCATTCGACGAAAATGATGGCCCCGATTTTTTCAACATACAAACCGTATCTGATGGAAACCAAGCAACGTATGCAATGTTTCCAAGACCATTATGATGAAGGTGGAAAATAACAAATTTTTTAATAATTAATTATATGATTAATAATTTATGTGAAATAAAAAGACATGATATTTATATAAAAAGTATTTTTTATTTATAATATTAAGTTTTACAATAAATATTTACATTGTTCTTACTTCACCATTAAATGGATTATAAGTTATAATCTGGTCATGTAATATTAAGCAATATGCTGAGGTGGAGGCTGGAAACGCTTCTTCGGTATCGATCTCAATCCTGAGATCAACAGTCGAAGTTTTTACATTATCGTTCTGTCTGCTCATATCCACAACTATAATCGGTGATAGTTTTTTGAAATCCGATCGAGTCAATAGAGGTGTAACATTTTCACGACCGTAGTAGGATTTCTGGAACTCGGCATATGCGCGGTATAATGTAGCCATCTTGTTCTTAGTAAAGTCGCTTTGGAAATCTTCGTATGGGAATACCTCGGAATTCAAATAAACCTTCAAGTTTTTGATTTTACAATGATCGAAATATGACATTGCTTTATTCATACTGTTTTTCCTATCGGTCTGAAATCCGATAATAGCATATCGTGGTTTTTCCAATTTATTGGATGTTTTTACTTTCCACGAGTGCGATGTGTTTTGAGGGAGAAATGGGTATTCACACAACTCCCACGATCTAAACGCACATTTCAAAGGTTTCTGATGGTTCACTATTTTCAACAGTCGTATTTTTTCTCTGTCGCTGACCTTGACTATAGGCATTCTCCACAATATTTTCGTGATATTTATCTTAACGTCCTTTAACTTAGGCGCGTCTAGGACAACGTCATTATTTTTATATTGCTTAACCGCATTTATATCTATTGACGCTCTATTTAATATCAATTGCTGATTGCAGTTTATTAAAATACGTTTATAGTCCTCACAAAAACCAAACAAATCCTTAAGATTTATACACCCGTTGAACATAGAGCTCTCGATAAAATCTTTATTAAAATTTTTAATATCATCATACCAGGCAGCGTTATAGCGTGACACTATGTCCGATTTATTATACGAACAATATCCTTTCAATGTTGTAGTTATATCTGGGTTAGCGAGTTTTTGAATTTAAATCCCGTTCAGTTCATATCTCATTTCAGAAAATAGAAATGCTAGTCCATTGTTTATAAATCGAATGTCATCTGTTATTTCAGCAGGTTTGGTTATTGCCCCCTCAATATAGATATAACTTTCACATGGTAGAGTATAGGACTCTGTGTTATGTAAGGCAATACGTACTTCATCATTATTAGAAAGAGCAGCTGTTGAATAAGGTAGAAAAGAATGATAATCAATTTGAGTTATCCTACAATCGTCAACATACCCGGCCGATACATCTAAATACATATTCCATATTAAATAACGTTTAGTGATTGTAGAAAAGTTAAATTTTCAGCTGTTAAACCGTCCCTCACTTTAGAGTATTTAAAATGTCGTTTCTTTTTCTTCGGAGCTGTTGACTCGATAATGTCTCCAACACGACTAGCTGGTTTTTCATATACCCGGCTATTTGTATTACAAAACTTCAACCCCATTTTATCATATATCTTTGATTAATAAGCGTATTGATATTGGTTCTCCGCGTAGATCGATTAACTCGTTATCCTGATTTTTTAAAATAATCTCTGCATGCGTGATAGATGAACAATTGATTGAATAAAAAACCAAATGTGTTGGATTCTCTATTACTTTATAGCCCGGAGGAACATTCGGATAAAATTCATGTATTGTATGACTCTGCTTTCCGTTCTTGAATGAGCCCGCAACCAGGTTTGATTCGATATATATACAGTTTGTTTTTGTAATATTTACCAACTTGCCCGATTGATGTTTAACATTAGCGTCATATATACGTTTTTCAAAGCCTAACAGCTCGCCTATACTATTGGGCATTGATAAATCTATAGATACGTTACATTGCATTTCACATTTTAACGTATTGTTATTCCCCCTCAACTCGAAGGATATCTTGGAATCAGTTAGTATATGCTTTATCACCGCCTCGATTTCACTCAACTCATAAGAGCCTGTGGGTAATGAGTAAACTTGATGACCCATATCATTCTTATTTATAAATCCTATTTGATCACACCCGTTGTTTATATTGGGTATAGAATTGTTTGTTTGAAAAGCTAACAGGCAAATCTTAGCGTTTTTACTGACTTCAATCGGTGGGAAAAAGTCGCAAGACAATTCGCTCGAGTTGCCGCTCAATGTTATGGTGTACATGATAAAAATCTTAGACACAAATGGCCACAGTTAGTTGTATTGTATTTCTGATGTCTGTCGTAATTATATTCGATATTACAATCGCTAAAATATTTCTGTAATTCTAGTGGTGGGGGTAAATTTCCAAAGCTATCGTAGTATTTAACTTGTTTACCGATTTTTTTATACGCTACCCAATGAGTTCCTCCCCCCTTCTCGATATCTAAATTAACTATGGCTGACTCTCTATGTTTATAATGTAAAGGCAACTTGTCTCTGGAAAATACTCCGATGAAATGAGGTATTTTCAACATGTAAACGTATTTTATAATCTCATAATCAAACAATGCTCTATCGGGTAGCGTAGCAATTAGTTTTTTGTCGGTTTTCTAGATTTCCGATTCACCGAACCACCTTTGTAAGGTGAGAGGTATAAGCCTTTTCCTTTTACGATTTTATAAGAACCTCCCTTGTATGGTGCGAGGTATAAACCCTTTCCTAAATGAATAGGGGTTTTTTTATCAGATTTTAAATCATTCACTACTTTTACTATACTGCCGATACCGCCAGTTAGCGCACCTAATGCAGATAAACCGGCAAAAATAGGTATTAAAGGTAAAACACCTCCCTTTTTAGGGATTGGTATGATTCTAGGAGTTTTAGTTTTCTTAGTTTTCGATTTTTTAGCTGCCGTCAAGCACGTTCTAATTAATTTAGTTATATTCTTTTCTGTCGTTTTATTTTTGATCGCGTTTTTAGCGGCCGCAACCATTTGTTTAAATCCACAGCCGGCCCCCATCTTGCGCTTGACTTTCATAGCTGTAGTAACTAGCCAAGACGCGGCTTTTTCCTTAATTCCAGTGTTTTTGGATTTAAACACTTCCCAAGCTTGATTTTCCAATATTTCGTCAGCTTTGTGTCGATCAGCTAGTGAATTACTTTTATCATACGCGATATCATGAGCTCTAGCCAACTCGTCTAGACTGTTTACGCCTCGATCACCACGCGCAAGCCTTTCTTTTAATTTCGTACCAGGACCGGCGAATCTAAATGCAAACCCAAAATTTAGTTAGGATTTAATAACGTAATGTACCGACTTACCTATAACCGGGTAAATGTAATTCCACCGGTAAATGGTTTATTACTGAGTTAACAAGGCCAGAACCCTTATTGGTGTTTCGTTTACGAATGCGAGACATCGTGTGACGCCATCATAGGCAGCACATCTGTATTTATAGCATAACGTTCGCTTTGTAAAATGCGATTTATCGAGCAAAAAAAAAAACTTCGAATATATAACATCGATAGCCCCGATACAGTACAGTATAGGCATGGTGAGTTATTTCCAAACACGATACGCTCTCTAGTATTGGGGAGTTCGGGTTGCGGCAAGACGAATTTGATATATTTTCTACTCGTCGACGAAAACGGGCTTCGATTTGAAAACATTTACATATACTCTAAAACGCTGGAACAACCGAAATATAAATTACTGAAGCGTATTATTGATGGTATTGACGGAATTAACATTTTCACGTTTTTCGAGAACGATAAAGTCATCGCGCCCGAAAAAGTATTACCAAACTCTATATTTATCATGGACGACGTTATTGGAGAACAGCAGGGGGTGATAAGGGAATATTTTTCCAGGGGGAGGCATAATAAAGTAGATATATTCTATCTAGCTCAGAGTTATTCAAAAGTACCCAAACAACTGATACGTGATAACGCAAATTTAATAGTTTTGTTCAAACAAGATGAAACTAATTTAAAGCATGTATACAATGAACATTGTTCGGGCGATATGACGTACAATCAATTCAAACAATTTTGCACCGTGTGCTGGAATCGTGATAGGTTTGCGTTTGTAGTCATATGCAAAGATAGTGAACGTGATAGCGGCCGTTACCGATTCGGGTTTGATACGCACGTGGTTATATAAGACGGCGTTTATATTGAATAAATATCATTTAAAACGCAATCATGAAGGAGGAAAGTAATATATTAGAGGAGTTGGTGAAGGCTAAGGAAAGTATAAAACGTAAATATACCTCATTGAAAAACGGTGAAGCCGACGTTCAACAGTTGATGGCGCAAACATTCAAGCCCGTTATAGAACCTTTAACTAAAATATCGAATACGCGCGATTTGTCTACTAATCAAAGTACGGCGGACAAGGAGGAAAATAAGCTCGGCGGAATAGATTCTGAAATTAACGAAAACGGCGATGTTGATGACGACGACGACTACTATCAACAAGAAATTGAAAACTGGTTCCAGTCCGTGGATATAGATAAGACTTATGGTCCGAAAAAACTAGCAAACGGTGATATTACCTTGGGCGATAAAGAAGTGAAATTCACTCGAAATTTAATACTTTTCAATGGAGCGTCTTATCCAGCAACCTCGGGACTTCTTCGACTATTGTTTTTGAAAAACCCTCTTATTTATACGGGTGACGATTTAAAGACGTATAAATCGATATTAATTCACACATCGGCGCATTTAACCGCAGGCGGTTCGAAAATTAAAAATACCGCATGTAAAAAATTTAAAAATATTATAAGTCGATTATTTCCCTCGGGTGGCGAACTGTATATGAAAGTACAGAGAAATAACTTAGTGTATTGGGATAACCCAAACGAGTTGGTCGATAGACTTCGGTTACTTCTAGCATCGAAATCAGCTGGCAATACAGGTGTTTCAAATGAGATAATATCTATTTTCGAGGAATTACTTGAGGCCGGGCTAATTAAACGAATTCCAAATGTCTAAACGCGAGATTGCCACGGAACTCCACAAACCGTCGAGGAAAAATTTCACGAGGCGAAGAGTTAACATATATGGAAAAAATGATTTGTGGCAAGCTGACTTGGTCGAAATGATTCCATATTCGAAAAAAAATAAAGGTTATAAGTATATTTTATGCGTAATTGATTGTTTTACTAAATTCGCATGGGCTCTGCCTCTGAGGAGTAAATCCGGTAAAGAAGTCACTAGTGCTATGTCTAAAATACTGCACGAACGCTCACCGAAACTTTTACAATTGGATAACGGTAAAGAATTTTATAACAAGACGTTCGACGAGTTGATGGATAAATATGGCATACACAAATACTCTACATACAGTATCATGAAAGCATGTATTGTTGAACGCTTCAATCGTACGCTAAAAGAAAAAATGTTCAGAGAGTTTACTGCGCGGGGCTCTCACGAATGGATATCTATTTTACCGACGTTGCTTCGGGAGTATAATAATTCGAAACACAGAACTATCGGAATGACACCGGTACAGGCGGATTTTAACCCGCTTACGGTGGAAATAAAGCAACGTGAAATAAATAATGTAAAAATTAAATTCAAAGTAGGCGATAGCGTTCGTATCAGCACTCAAAAGGGTGTGTTCACAAAAGGTTATTTACCAAACTGGTCTACGGAAATATTTGAAATTATCAAAATAAATAAAACATCGCCCGTTACTTATCAGTTGCGAGATTATACGGGCAAACCGA